TTTTAGCGGAAATTTTATTTTCGCGATATAATGGTGCCAGCAAATTAGTCAAAAATATCATGTCAGAAGAATATAAATTAGAATCGCACTTAACATTAATGCGATCAGTTTATATGATGGAAGCAGGTCATATCATGAACAAATTTTATCAAAGATTGTTTTATGAGGTAATTCGTATAAAGTATTATGTAAATGATGTGACATTTTTTAAATTACTAAACTTTTATTGTATATATTTCATATTAAATTTTGTTTAGATTGAAACTAATCAATTGTGGAACAATTCATACTTTTTATCATGTATACTTGAAGAAATCCTTTCTCAGTGGTGGTCAGATTTAAGTTCTCGTTGGTCTATTACAGTTTCTAATACTCATACAGATCAAGTATTACTAGCTATAGATAATATAACGTTACATTATACAATAGGTTGGCCTATAAATATAATATTAAATGAAAAAACTTTCATAAAGTATAATGAAATATTTAGGTTTCAATTAAAATTAAAATGGGCTTTATGGACATTGAATAATTTGCGATTTAGTGGTGAGAAAAAATATTTAAAAACTGTTAACTATTTTTAATGGAATATTATAAGCAATGCTATTCTTTATAGATTTGGAAGGTTCAAAATCAATATATGAAAGAAATAAATTAGAACAATTTCATATAAGACGGATTGAAAGTTTAAGGTTTTGTTTATTACATGCAATTAGTTCAATAAATGCATATTTATCAGGTCAAGTAGTGCAAAATTTAAGTCTTGTATTAGAAAAATCTTTAGAACAAGTTGACAGTCTTGATGCGATTATATCAGGTAAAATTATAATGCACAATATTGATATTTTGACATATATACACATGAATAAATACTTAATTACTTTTTTTTACATTGATGATTACAGTTCATAATGAATATTTAAAAAAAGTTTATGAACACTGTTTGTTAACAACTGAATATGAAGACTTAATGGTAACTATAAATAACGTATGTATATATAATAAACATTATTATTTAATGCAATCTATAAAAATTAACTAATATTGTATTTCATTGATACATAATTTATATGCACTCTTTTTAGTTAATTGAAATGTGTAGTCACATTCGAGTTCGTTGGAATTATAAAAAATTAATATTTGCCAGTGAAGAATTAGATGTGTTGGAAAGCAGCTACAATAAATATCACACATACCTTGCTTTAGCCTTGCATAATGCAGTTCAGAATAAAGATGCAAATTACTGTAAGTCTGAAGTTCCATTGACAGCATTATAAGATACATGATATATTGACCTTCTTAAATTTAATACAACTATTTCAGTAATGCAAAAATAAATTATAATATTGCTATAAATGTTTTATTATAGTACCTTATAAAGAATTTTGATAACTGCTATTAACAGTTCTAAAAATTTATACAATAGCATACTAATTTATATTATCATTTAATATTTTTTTTTAAATTGCTTTGTTCACAGTGACTGGCTTAAGCTCAGCATTTAACTGCAGTATGTCATATGTTTAATACTGACAAGTTTCCAAATTTTTTTTATTTAA